CCTACTTTTTCAGGTTGTTTCTGAAATGTTTCCCTGTCTATCAAGCAGTAATGGCAGAAGTACTTGTTTCTGCTAAAATTCTCTGTGAATCCACCGATACAATGTGATCCAAGATTGTTCCCTGATATGGCTATCAATGCTCCTTTCAGACTGCTACCATCCTCGGTTTTGAAACCCACCTCTTCTATATCCTTTAAATCAGCTAAAAGAGGGGTGAAAATTGTCTCTTGCCCAAAAAGACGAAAGTCTTACTTCCTGCAAAGCAGTACTAACTGCATTGGATCAACACATGAGCGATTGTGGGGTAATATTTCACCAAGGGTCGAGTACACAGCCAGTATTTTATGCTTCTTTTTACCAGATCCAAGAGGATTGACTACCTCAAATGAATCCTGATACAGAACTATTGACAAAGCCGAGGGGGGATTCTTTTAACAAAGGATTGTCTTTGATGGTTTTTCCATCCATCATATCTGTCAAAACATCTGTCTGAAGGATTTAACATCTGCTTCATCTTTGTCTGTCTGTACTGGTCTTTCACTACTGACTGACTGAGAAGAGACTTCAGTGTCTCCTTGATAGTAACGTACTGAAAGAAACGTTCCCTGCCAGCTGCATCTGCACCTAGATAGATCTGAGTGGGCTCAATGTAGCTGAAAGACAACGATTTCCTTGTTTGGTCTGATCTCATGGGCCCTCCATGGCACTCTTTAAAGAGATCTTCCTTAGACACATCATCTAGTATCTGACTAATTTCATTGTCCTGCAGGTTCAACATAGTTAACTTCTCATGAACCTTTGAAAGTACATACTTCATGCCAGAGTTGTGCACCTCCTGAAATTCCTCTATGATTGTTTGAATAGTGCTAGCTGGAAGAAGCATTTTGGCTTGCAGTTTAAGATAGAAAAGAGCTAAGTTGTTCAAAAACTGACTTTGGTCAGGCACAGCATCCTGCTCTGCATCTTGCACATCAGGCACAGCTTCAGGGAACATTTCATCAGGCAATGTGCAGTGCACTGCTCATTTTGCTGGCTGTCAGGTGCAGTGTGACTTCTAGTTTCATGGTGTGAACATGTATGGATTCCACTTAAGTGAGAGGAAAAGGTTGACCTAACACGGAAATATTTGGCGCAACCTGTATAAGGACAGGTCACCTTTTTACCATCCCTAAGATGCCATTTCAAGTGTGCACACAGACTTGAAAAAACAGTGCTCTGAAATTTGCAACCCTCAACCCCAATAACATTCTGGGGTTGAGCTCTATCTTCAATTGGCGCCATTTTTGCCTTGCCATGGTACCGATACATATGAGACTTAAAAGATTGAAATTTCCTAAAAATGCAAGGGCACTCAAGTATACCACATGCAAAGCAGTGATTAGACACATTCCTGTGTACTTTTACGTGTGTGGTGAAAGCATTTAAGAGAGAGGTTGAGAAACTGCATGACTTGCAGTTGTAGCTGGACATACTAAAAACTTGGCAGGGATGACTTTGGCGGATAAGTGGACTTGAATGCCTGCCTGGGAACCCGGTGAAGATCGGACCCCTCACTGATGATCAAAACTGGTCAGCAATGGTGAAACTCAGATCACACACTGTAACAAAGAAAACACACAAAGACAAGTACAAAACCTGTTAGCCACAGTACCGAGAGAGATGGACAGAGAGTGGAAGAGAGAAATGGTGAAAGAAATTTCTGTAGCAAAACAAAATACAAAACATTTTTAAAGTTTAAAAACCTGTATTATTATGACTAATACTTACAGAAAACTCATAAACCGCACCAACACCTTGCGGCAGGGATGCCCTCCTCAGGGTGCAAAGACAACGGACCACACTTGTAGTGTAGAACTATAAGAAAGCAAATTATATTTAATTCCATGATGTGTTACCTTTTGGGGATGTATAGGCTAATACATCACTGTGTATTTCATACACTCCAACAATACATCTAGGTTAGTAAAAATTAGCTTATGCTTGACCTTGCTGAATACATACTAACTTACTTTTGCCATGGCATGCATTTTACATGTCTTTGTTGGCCAATAGATCATTAACCGTGAAGATGATGATTTGCATCATTAGAAGGGAGGACTCAGACGCAACCAACACATCCCATTAATATCTCTTAAAACATGAATTGTTTTGAGAGTTATTTCAGCCGAGTGAGGAAATCTCTATAGCAAATTACCATTCACGCCCCAGTCTAGATGTGTAAGTAGACAGAGAAACCAGATTTTTTTTTTTTTTTTTTTTTTTTTACATATTAAAAAACCTTTGGTTTTTTTTTCCCCCCAAAAAAGGGAATAATGTAGTAAAAAGTTCAGCAAATAATGACAAGAAGTATTTTTATAAAACTACCTACTGCCAAGTTTTTAGTAAAATTCATTCCATCATTCATTATTCGCCACTCCTTGTCACACTTCAACCTCACTCAGATACTCCCTCTCCTCATATGCCAAATTAGGATTTTAGGCTTTCTATATAACAAATAGCCACAGTAACCAGACCTTGCATCAGATAGGTTCCTTTAGAAACCTGCAGCACGTCATATCACGACTGATGGTCCTTCCCTTGGTTCTGTGTCTTTCTCAGTCAGACCACAAGATGTCCCTCCTATTTTCTCTCCTTCCTCAGGTGTTCCTAATAATCATTTTTCATTAACCTTTATGTATTAACTAATCTGTTCCAGTCAGCGTTGTTTTTGTTCTCACTTGTGGCCCACCATATTGGGAGGATGTCCTGGTGTCTTCATGTCCCTGTACTTCCAGTGTTGTATTCAATTCACATCTTAGTAGTTTAGGTTTTTGTTGTCAATGTAACACACTAGTACAGCACGCACGCAAATGAGCCTAACAACAAAAATGCTGCCAGCTACACACAATGCCATATACAGTTTAAAATGTAATTCATTCTAAACTTTTTACATATAAATTTATAATGGCATAAATTAAAGGATAATATGGGATTGCTAAGAGGATTATAGGTTCCACTGTGTAAGTATATGGATGCACTTTTATTTTTTCATGTTTACTTTTATATTTACTCACATTTTTATTGGCTAGTGTTAATAGGGGTTTGTAACGTTACTTACATAATGAGACCATCATCCAAACTTTTTTACCGTTGCACTGATGAACTATTTTTAGGATTTGTATTCGTATATGGGGGCAGATTTTCTCAATCTGAGCATTCCCAGGGCTCTCATGTCACTTTCATCTTCATACCAAAAAGTAGTTAAAGAATATAATGATGAATCAAAATGAGGCATATTGTGCAAACGGTAACTGCAAGCAATGTTCTGGTGAATGCACACAGTAATTGTAAATGAGTGTATTGGTAGTTAGAGGGATAACATCATGTATGTGTTAAAATAAAAGAATACAATTTATTGTATATGTTTCTGCTTGAAATTGCTTTAAAGACTATGTTTTATATGTAGTTTGAGTTGTGTAACTTGCCATTATCCCCAAAGTTTTAACAATGTTGCAAACTCGAAACCTGTAACTTTATTCCAGAATAACGTGTTTCACGGTCGCTTGTCAATGGCGTCAGTTATTCCTTGGGCATAGCGTCAGCATTGTGATTGATCTGCTAGGCTGTCATACAATGTTACTTTTTATCAATTTTAAGCTACATTTTTTAGCATCCCCATGGTTATAGTTGGTGCTTTTTAACTCTAGTTTTGAACCAGATGAGATTTTAGTATCAATGTCGGGAATTAGTTAACTGAGGCATGCTGAGCTAACGTTAGCGCAGCTGGCTCGCAGCTCATTTGGGACCGTCTTTGTCTGCCTACAATCCTGGGAGACAACAGTGATTTTTAAGGTATTTTAATTACGTGTTTTTAGAGTTTTACCAGCATGTCCGTTTTATTTTGGTAGAGGAGGAAGACCTTTCTGTAGTATATTGGGTTCCTGTAGGAATCACCGGGAGTCTAACTGCAATGATTGGCAATGGTGAGCGAATGAGACAACTACCCATGATT